TGTGTGTGTGTGTGTGTGTGTGTGTGTGTGTGTTTTAGTGGTCATGCTAGTGCAGAAGTTTGTGTTTCAGTGAATGCGTTTAGCTTAGCTCATGTCAGGGCCACCTTTCAAGGCCTTGCTAGTTTTCACAAGGCCTTCAGCTGAAGGCCAGTCAGACGTGAAGGACAGAGGAGAGGACACTGTTTGGGTCAAGATTCCAGGAAATGCTGAAAAATGAGGAAAACCAAAGGTAGGAGGGGACATTTGAGGGTACGGACACGAGGATAAGTGTTTTAAACATAAACAGCATCTTTGTAGAATGACAGTAAAAATGGTAAAATCACATTGATAAGAAAGGAAAACACTTGAACGTGTGAACAAATGGCCAAGGAAGAGGAAAAAGGGCAGAAAAAGTTTAAAGCTCACAGGATGGGAGAGGGCTAAGCAGGTGTGGGTAAAATAAGAGTAAGCTGAAACTAGAGAGGACAGGAAACAGGATAAATCAGATAAGTGGAAGTATGGCTGGGGAAATGTCATGAAGAGAAGGAGAAAAAACAGACTTATATTCTAAATCCGTTTTTGCTTTGGCTTCCAGTCCTTTATGTGTGTGTTAAGATTAAGAGCATTTGTCATTGAAAAAGAATGAACAGCAGTCACAAGGTGTTTAATCCACTTTACAACATAAAGTACTAAATTATTATATGGACTTTATTTAAATAAAATAATTTGAATATTTTATTCATAAACTTAGTTTTGCAGTGCACAGCTTACTGTGAACAAACCACAACAAAAAAAGAAGTGTTTTATATAGATTCTACAAAGTTTAGCAGTAAACTTATTTKAAAATACAGATTAATTCATGTCAGTTTTTTTATATAGCAGAAATAACAAATGTAACTGGTCCATTCCAAACAAGAGCCTCAAACTGAAGTACTACACCAAGCAAAAAAGATGATGGAATATAAACTGGTATAAAAGTACCTAAAGAAAATAAAGCTTTCAGACACATTCACTTATTTGATGCATGTGTGCGTATGAGTGCTCTCTGTGTGTGTGTGTGTATGAATGCTCTGTGTGTGTGTATGAATGCTCTGTGTGTGTGTGTATGAGTGCATCTGTGTGTGCGTATGAGTGGCCTTGTTTTTCCTACATTGTGGGGACAATTTTCCCAAAAAAGCAGCCTTGTGTGGGCTGAACGTGCATCGTGGGTACCAATGCCCAGTCCCCACAGGTCCAAATGCAAATTATGGGTGGGGGGTTAGGTTTAGGACCAAGGTGTGAATTTAGTTTATGTACGTACCTGTGAGGTTAATTTTAGGGTAGGCTATATAWWTTCCAAAAAATGAATGGAAGACAATGCACGGTCCCCACAAAGTTATACAAACCAGACCTGTGTGTGCGCATGAGTGTGTCTGTAGGTGCGTGTCTGTGTGTGCATATGAGTGACTTTATCTCCCCTCTCTGACCTGGAGCCTGTGCTATCTGGCGCAGTTAGTTTTTTTTTAACAAGGCAACTTCAGGTCAGGTGGGGTTTTAAAAAGCTGAACAAACAAAAATAACAGATTTAATTTCCACCGCTTCGTGAGTGATCAGTCCTGCTGTGATGTCATTGCAGAACTCRGGTCCAGTTCCTCTGGCCAAGAGGAGAGAAGATGACGTGTCTGTAGGGAGCCCGCCACTGGTCAAACATCCCTCCAATCAGGCCTCGGACTACGCCAGCAGTCCTCTGAAAACCAAGACAGTGACAGGTAACGAACAAAGCTGTGATGAGAAAATTCAACATGACCTTTTTTTATAACATCTGGAAGGTATTTAAAAATAAAATTAGAGCTTAATAAAACAAAACAATGGTTTTATTCAGATATGTCTACTGTTCATTTAACAAGACACTTCCTGAATGTGGAAAAAAGTACATATATAAAAAACAGACAGAAGATGTTTGGACAAGAGTCAAACCTCCAAAAATGTCCAAATTATAATTAAATGTTGAAGGTTTTACAGTCTTTGATGTGACTCAAATTAGGTGTGAACACAAATGTTTGTCCATGTAGGAATCTCACTTTTACTAATTCTTCTGATAAGGGACAAAAATGTCTTGTATGTTTAACTTTGACAGGAAAACATTAAAATCTAGGTTTTGTGGAGTTTGGACTCATCAGTGATGACCCACCTCTGCAGAAATGTTTGGTAGGACAAACTAGTGGGCTAACCCTGCAAACTTTTCTCAAGTATGAGTTATAAAGTTTATGTCATAAACAGGATAAGCAATAAGTCTGCTTGTACTGTATTACTGAAAAAAGGAAACAATCGGTTTGTTGTGTAACCAATGCAGCCAAACCACAGTTCCAAACCCGGCTCACGTCCCTGGAACTGGCCAGTCAGTTTACTGCCCAGCTTCATGATGTGATCAAGTTGTTTAGTGTGGACAAAGGAGCTGGGGTGAACGGTGACATGCAGGAGGGCAGGGCGCTCTCGATGGTGGCTCAGTAGAACTAGGTGCACACTTCTGCTTAGATGTTTAGTTTTTTAAGCACCCTAAGCGCATTCATCCTCCCGAGAGCATAGTTTGAGTGCTCCAAAGAATAAATAACCTCAGTTTTTACAAGCAGAATAAGAGCTATGTCAGTATTTGTTTGACTTATCAAATCTATCTTTTAAAGGTGTTTTTGCATCTTGACATAGTTCCTGCTGGGAACTGAAATTTATCAACACATGCACATAAATCTAAACTTTTATTTCACAGTTAGAAACTGATGTATTGTTACAGTGATGCTACATGGGATTTTTTCCTCTTATGAAATCGTAAAATGTAATGTTTTTTGCTCTTTTTATTAAAATGTCTTGTGAAATTTGCAGGCTTATTTTGATTTTTCCCTCACATTTTACTCAATGCTCCAATACTTTTGGAAATTATCTTAAATTATTTCAAAGCCGATTGCTTTGTGCCTATTCCTTACTCAGAAATACTGTTTATTTTGACTGATAGATTGATTTGACTGCAGCAATATCTTGTTAATTAAAGGGATTGTTACTTGTTTTATGGTGCAATGACAAGCTGCTTTTTGGTCATTTGTGGTGTCAGAACAGTTCAGGAAAAACCCAGTGCGTGCTGATTTGTCGAGCACATAATCCAGTGCYGTACAAAGCATTTCCATCCATCTGTTTAACTGATATTAGGGATTAAGTATGTTGGTCATCTAACAAATATAAACAAAAGATTCTTCCATAAAACAGTTCTGTAAAGTGGCTGCATAGACTAGTCTGTCTTTTTGCTCCCTCCTGCCGTTTATGGCGAGTGGGGATGGATAAAGAACCCAAATGAGTGCAAGAGGGCCCATTGCTCTTTTATTCAAACATTTTGTCCCTCAGCTGGACACCAGGTTAGAAACAGTCAGTGTTCTGAGCTTCTCAGGATTCATAAAAGAGTCATCAATAATTCTTTTTCTTTGACAGCTCAGAGCCAGGAAGTGGCCTCAGTAGTGCAGAGGGCTCTGTCATTCAATGCCACAGGCATCACAGACCATTGTCATGGAGTCCCCTCACCATTTTGTGGTGGTTGAGCAGATTGTGCCAAGTTAAGACGCCAACCAGTGTGCTTAGTTTTCCTTGTCTGGTTACTGGCCATTTAAAAGTCAGTAATTTTGCTGGCCACGTCTTGCACAGATGTGAGCTTTCAAAGGTGAAGTGAGCAGTACAAAACAAGAAGTGTGGATCAGAACTCTGCTGAGTTAGCATGGAGCGTAAAGTATTAAACATTGGACGAATGTTTCCCTCGCATCGTTTTCAAAACATAATGGATTAACTCAGTTTAGTGATTCTCTTTGTGGTTATGTTTTTAAAACTAAATACAAAGTTGTGCGTCATCAACAATCTTCCCTTTGTTTGTCATTTTATCTTGTGACTGGGTGGTTGCACTGGTCATATGTCCTCAATGCCTTACCTTTTCACTTTATAGACTGTTTCAGCTTTATTACTGTCTTGCTTTACAGCACAAAGGCACATTAGGAGGGTTGGTTTTAACCCCCCTACATGCTTCTTTCCATTCAGAATCACACAGGCAACCAGAAGGTGTCTATATCCTGATTTGAGGTGTCATACTAAATAGCCTGAAGACTCATACCTGGGAGAATTACRGCAGTTTTTCATGATAAAACTTAAAGTTTTATCATGAAATTTCCAGGAAACCACCCACAGTTTCCAGGAAACTGTGGGTGATGAACCTCTGGGATTGCTGATGTCACTTTTAGGTTGTAAACATTGCATGTGTACACTACTGTCATATGTTTTATTAAGCAAAATGCTTCTCTGACACTTCAGTGAATAAAGCAGACCATTAGAGTTGAGTTTACAAAGCTGAAAGGTCATGTTGCTGTTCATGTCCTCTTGGTTTTCTCTCCATTCTGTTTCTCTTGTTTCATCCAATCTGCACTAAAKGCTTTTCTAAACCACAGCATCTCTGCTTAGTTCCATCTGAGCTGTATATTTTTTCATTAGCAGTTGTCAGTAAACAGTCACCTTGGATCCAAAGCAACCTCAGGCTGTAGTTTGTCAGCAACACTCAGTAGAGAACACTAACTGTCAGCCTGTTGTCGATCTGTCACTGATCTTCAGTCTTGCTGTCTCTAAATTTGTTTTCCTATTTGGCTAATTTTTTTCTTTTTACAAAGCCTTTAGTGGCTGGACTCTAAAGTCTGTAAAAATATTGAAACTGTCCAAGTATTTTTCTTCTGATTGCTGCAGTTCAGTCTGTTTTACAGATATTGAGCTCAGACTTGGTGTGGTACTAGCTGAGCATCATGGCCAACACACGCCAAAGTTTTTGTTAAAAATTTTGGTATACAATGTGATATACTGTGTGTATACTGTATATACAGTGTGTGTGTGTGTGTGTATATATGTATATATGTGTATATATATATACCTAGGCTGCATTTTTGAGCGCAGATCCACTGAGAAACTTGCTGTTTCAGCAACATTTAATTAAAAAACTGTACTTTTG